AAACAAATTGGTAGCAGTTATTGTGGTATGGGCTGCAAGACATTAAAATCGATAGGAAATTAAATGCTGCTAGTTCTTTTGCTCACAGAACAACTTGTCTTACTGTGGGGAACAGACTAGACTGGTTTTGCATCATTCATTCTCTTGTGATTTCAAATAGTCATAACAGTTCACTTTAAGCCATATTGCTGAAGTGGTTTTAATACTTTTGATCCAGACAAGAGTTAAAGTAATTAGCTGACATTTGATTTTACTTGATATGGATCCAAACCATGAAACTTTGAACACCCCTACAGTTCAGAAGTGTTTCATTCAGTGTTTGGGTATTAGTCTGTGTTCTCAAGTAACCTTTTCTAACTTGGCGTATTTTATCCCAGATTTAAAATAATAAAAAACCCAACAACACAGGGAATCAAGTCTGTAAACGATTTTTATTTAAATACAGAGATGCCCTGGAATGTAGCTGTAGAAGCAGCAAGCCGAAGGAATAAGAAGGACACTGCCTGTGTGCTCTTGTGTTTATGTGCAGTGTTCACACCTGGCTACATATCTGTGTGGCTGTACAAAACGTTGCTGCTGCTGCAAGGAGCTTACAATGTTAACAGACAGCCAGGGCAATCATGTGCTTTGAGACCCAGAGGATGGTGCTAACTTAGAGCATGTGTGCATTTTTGGTTTTATGATGTGATGACAGCAGCATTCTGACACTGGTTAACATTTGTGGGCCTTGTGGAAGGAGTGAGTTTTCATGAGGGATTTGGATAGAGAAAACCTGCCTGCTTGGCACACAGAGTCGAGGAGGGTGTTCCAGGCAGAGTTGAATTAGGGATGTGAGAACTGAGAGTGTAGTGTGATGTTTTACATTGTATGTGATGCAACTGGTAACTTGGAATGTAGCTGACCATGTTTTGTAAGCTCGTTATTTTTTTTCTTGCAGTCTAATACAGAAGGGGAAAAATATGTTGTTATGAAGAAATTCAAAAGGAAACATATAGATATTACTGCTGAACATAGATAAGTTTACTTCCTCTTTCAATTATCTGGGGATTAAGAAAGCTGTATACCATAAGAAGTATTTGTTGTGTTAAGAGACGAGATGGAAAGAGAAGGCTTTCCAAGGGGGTGAGGGATTTGTAGAACTTGATTATAGCCTGTGTGTATAGGGGCAAAGAGCTAAAGGTAAGTTGATATCTTCAAGATGGCATGCTTATGTGATGCTGGAAACAGTGCTGGAATACTTGATTTGTTGAAGTATGTGCTCAGTATTCAAGTAATTTAGCAGCAGAGCATATTGTGATTTTTCCTGCTTAGAGACAAGTTGAACTGAAAGAAAGGTTGCAGAAGTTGTTTGTCTGCTTCCTGTGAAGTTCTGCTAAGAATGACTGATGGCAATGTAGAAGAAAGGCAGTTCTGTGACATACACTTCACAGTAACTTTGTACGCAAAATAGTTGCAGGCTGTTCAGTTGCCTGAAGCAGCACAGTCAGAAATTTTCGGATTCTCTCAGAAAGTTTACTCTGGACTATAGCATACAAATAATTTTCTGTCCATATATTCTTTTCCCTTACCGCCGTCTAACCTTTTTTTGACTTTTTTGCCTATTATGGTGAAGAAAGAGAAAAAAATACCTGATGCATTTTCAGGTTTTTATTGTAACTTAGTAAATAGGAGAGTGAGAGGGAAACTCATCATTGTATGACCATCATGATCTCCCCGTTATCCAAAATCAATGTGTCCAATAATCAGCCATTTAATTAGAAATACATGTACTTTATCTGTAACACCTCTCATGAGGATTTCAGAGCAGCTTACAGGTTTTAATGCTGCACCTCACAACAGTGTTCTGAGAAGAAAAAAACACGCTGGAGAAATTGCAAATTCGTTTAGGTTGTTCATGAGATAAAAAGGCCAGTTGATATGTTATAGTTAGGGGAACCTATACCCAACTTAAAATTTTGGGATAAATGTACACTACTTACAGAATCTCTCTTTCATATATTCTGTGTTATCTGAAGCTGTGAAGGATTAACCCTTCATCTCCTAAGTAAGGCTAACACAAGGTAACTGAGGACCATTTTATGCTGTTAGCTCCGTGTCATATGAGAGTCTGTTGGTACAGAACTATGGCTGAAGTCCAGGGAAGTCAGCATAATTTAACTTGCCTTGTCGATCAAAGGGTTGACAAAAAAAAAAAGCATCTTAACAGAAACAGGGAAAAAGGAAAGTAACACACAGACAGTCATAGATAAAGGAAAGCTGGGCAATGGAGTCAAGTTCTGTAGCCAAGATGCCAAAATTTGAGAAAGTTCAAGGAGGATAGAGACTATGACTTATGTGGATTCTACATATCTGCTCTGATGTCATCTGTGCTCCTCTAGCCACACTATTGAGAATTGCAGCCTTTAGCTTTATCTCTCCTGTTGTGCAATTAGTCTTGTGTTCCTTTTTCACATTGGGTGGTTGCACTAAGTCATAATCATACATAAGCTTCTCTCTGTTCAGTCTCTGAAATAATGTAAAGATTGTACTGTGTGACTGAATTGTGTTTTTTTATGAAAACTGTTAGCTGTTGGGTGGTGTGGCTGTATGAGGCACTGTGCATGAAAGTCATACTTCTAGTATAAAGGGTGGATCCTGCTCATGGCTGCCAGGAAAAGGTGTGAGGGCTGTGGGACAAAGCAGGGCAGTTTTCCTGCTGCCTACCTGGAAGATTCTCCAGTGCGGACTGTTGCTGGAGGCATGCATGGGTTATGTTGTGGAAGAAGTTAGCTCATTCCAGAAGACAGCACAGGGCTGGAGCAACAGTTGCAAAGGTAGATGGGCACAGCTGAAGCTGCCTTGTTTGATACCGATATTGTGCAGCTGCTCCAGAGGGACCGAGAAAAAAAATTATCTGTGATTCAAGGTAGAAACATCATGCTGGAAATGAGATCCTGACCACTACTCTTTCAAACCCCAGAAAGATTTCTGAGTGGTGGTGAATAACTGAAAGCATCTTGTAACTTTACTTTTGTTTTATTCTATTTAATTCTTTTTCTTAAAGCACAGGATTCTGTGAGGAACCTTGAACGAGTTTGAGGTACAGATTTGCTGGAGGTGAGATACAAGAAAACTAAAAGGGGAGTTGGGTCTCACCATGTGTTAAAGCAACAATTGCTTTGGAGTGCACAGTCCTCTGTTTGATGTGGTTACAGAAAGGCAGTCCCTGTGACAGAGAGGGAAGGGATGCACTCAGGCCTAGCTCACTGCCTGTTTCCTTCATGTACATCTTCAAAGAATGAGGGTATTTGCAAGATGAAGTTGTCTCGGAGAGAGTGGATGCAACAGGATGCGTGCACAGGTTCAGGGATTTAAGGCAGTTGGTCTTGTAGTATGTGCCTTTGCCATGGGCGCATGGGTGTGAGAATTTAGTAGTATGTATACCAGAAAGGATACCATTCCCATCAAGAGAATCCTAGTACATGAACCTGGTCTCAGAGAGCTCCAGCCATCACAACGTGTCCCACAGGCTGAGCAGCTTCCCACCACTCTCTTGGCTCCTCATCCCACCCACCACACACCCAGAGTGTTCTGCACAGGATAGGAGCTGAACACTGCCATACTGAGCTGGGAGAAGCATGTTGGGGGGGATGGAGCAGCCACAGAACGAGAATGTGTTGTGCAGATGTGTGAAGGTGAGAGTAAAGCTTATCAGCTACTGGTTCCAGAGGGTGGTGGGCTTTTTCCTTTCTTCTTTTCCCAGCTCGGCTGGTGAAGTCAGCCATTAAACAACAGCTCTCATGCATCCGCATAAGATAAAATTATTGGAGTACTATGTTAGGGCATAGATACACTGGAATACTTTAAAACACAGCAATTAAACATAGTCTTTGCTCTTTGGACCAGCTGCTGTCAGAATGACCCCTATTCAAATGCTCTTGACATCTCAAAGACTTTTCCCTTTTCATGTATAATGTTTCTCTTTTGTTTGTAGTAAAATAGATGTAAACAGGCAGACTTCTGTGAAGTCCTGTAACCAATTCAATTTCTAAGAAAGAACTATTATTACATTATTCTGGTTTCAGGAACAACTTGAGCCTTCAGACCTCTGCTAACCTGCTGTGCTGACTCAGTGCCTAAGAAGGAGCTGACTGTGTAGGGCAGGGACTGTTCCCTGACTGGAGGAAGGCAGAACAGTAAAGGCTCATAAGGGCATGGAAGGATGCAGCCAGGGTTTGTTGCACTATCACTCAAGTCACAAAAAAGAGAGTATATTTAGTTGAAAGCATAACAGCTAGTGACCTAAAATAGTGATTAGATGCAAATGCCTTTCTTCTGAGATGCCTGTGCATGTTGTATTCAACTCATTTTGGGTAGAACCTCATAGAAAATAAACTTACAAATTCTCTTCCTTTTTGGAGATAATTCATTTTTATCTTCACATCTTCACATCACATCTTCATTTTTATTACAAAGACCTAGAAGTGCAGGAAGGCGCTACAGTAGTACCTGAGAGATGTGCACACAGCAGATGTTGTACCCATTCTGTAGTTTGCTACACTTAATGCTGCTGTGTTCACAAGTCAGAAGTTGCATCTGTGTTGATAATGGGTTTCAATGGAAATAGCATTCCGGATGCATAGATTATGGTGCCAATATTATTATATTTTGTTGCTGTTTTGTACTTAAATGCTCAGCTTGAAATTAGAATTGAGCATACGAGTTTTGTTTATGTTTTGCTTTTGAATTTTATGTACCTTGGTCTCTGCTTGTTTATACCTTTATTTAAAATGTATCAAGTTCATTAAATTGCTGTACATGCTAGTTAAAAATACAGAGATTGTATTTCTTTTTATCCACTTCCCAGTGCAGATGCTTGACAATGAGCACGCTTGCAGAACCTCCTTTTCAAAACTGTTTGTAATCATGCAGTAGAGAACATTTTACAGCAAAGAGGACCTCCAGCCAGAATAATTTCCAAATGATCTTAAAGTGTAATTTTTCTTCTTCTTATTTTGTAGCTAGCTATGGATCAAATCCAATTTGCAAAGGCTGTTTGTCTTGTTCAAAGGATAATGGATGCATCAGATGCCAGCATAAGTTATTCTTCTTCTTACGAAGAGAAGGAATGAGACAGTATGGTGAATGCCTGCATTCCTGCCCATCAGGATATTATGGACTCCGAACACCAGATATGAACAGATGTTCAAGTAAGTTCCGTGGGTTTTTTGTCTGTTCTGTTGATGTTTTTGAAAGCTCAATGCAGTTTTTATTGGGAAGCCATAATTCACACTCTGTTTTTAAGGTGATATGTTGTGGAACACAATATTTTTATAGAAGTCATGATCTTCATAAAAACTTATTTGCTAATGTCCAAAGTCACACCAAGATTTGTTACGTTTAGCAAATTAGATAGTTGTGTTAGCCTAGCTGTTATTGCTTCTTTAATTTTAATTAAAACAAAGGTTAGGAAAGAGTTATGATTTAAGCAGCAATTTTTAGTTTAAAAGAATTAATTCCCTTTACATGAAAATAAGAAAAGATTAAGCATATATTTAATAATGCTTTGTGTAGATACAAGCCCAGTATATGCACTGGGATATGGGTGGGCTTCTTATCAAGCTTTTTGCTCCGACACAATTTTCAGGTGACCAGACACCTCACAACATACATGTTTTAATATGTAAGTGTTGCTGTTTTAATAAAACAGATGTACTATTAAGAACAAACAAACAACCTTTCACTGTTAGTGCTGCATTTTATTTGGAAATTTACAACCTGCTAATGTGCAACAAGGTTCCTTGTTTGTGTGTTTGTGCCTCACAGTACGGCTGTTAAAGCCTATGAGTGCTCTGGTGTATCTGCACGTTGTTTCACTGCTATCTGGCACTTGTGCCTATTTGTATCGATTTTTCCATATGCTCATATGTGGACAATTACCCATATGGATTATTAATCATTGCTACCACCCCTAATTCATAGCTTTTTCATGTGTCATAGTCTGACCAGAATTAGGTCACCAAACTGAAGAACCTGAAGTGAGAAACAGCTTTCCTTTGCTTCCTGAACTAATCAGACGTTCATTAAATGTAGGGCACTCTCCCGTGGGTCCTGCAGCATGTCACAGGGATGCACTGTGTTGTGAGGAAGTGGGTGCTGTCCTTCAGATCGCACATAATCTTGACAGGCCTATGAGGTCATTCTGTGGCACTTTTGGCTGGAATAAGAGCATTAACTGCAGTGCTCTGGCCAAATTCCAGCCCTCGTAATGACATCTCGCCTGTTTCTCCCCGATCCCTGTGCGGATGCAGTGGATATGGTATTCTTTGCTTTGTGATAGGTAGTGCTGTTGAGTGCTGCCTAATCTGTACCAGGTGGCCGGGTTTTGATGAAGAGTTCAATGAGAGCAGAATAGCATTTATACATCCCTTCTGTAAAACAATTTAGGAGCTTGGCCTTAATTTTCATTGCACGGTTGTGAATTCAGCAACTTGTCCGCTTTCAGCCTTTTGGGAGCGGGCTGTAAAAGCTGGGCAACATAAAATGTTTTTGAATATTGTTACAGTTTTGGGAAATAGGTGAATGTATTTGTATTAGCCTGTATTGTGTTTTTGAGATAGGAAATGTTGTCTGTGCTGATAGTTGTTCTTTGCTTTCTTTCAAGCAAACAAACCGTCCCAAAAAACCCCAAAGCTTGCAAAAGGTGAACTGTGAATTCAATACCACTTATTCTACATTTTTACCACTTACAGAAAGTGGCCTTTTTTCCTGAATTACAGGATTGGTTTTGAAAAGCACAAATGTGAGGCTGTGTCCAATCTATATTGGCATGTGTTGAGTGCTGGATATTTAACTCACCCTCATGCCTTTGACAGTCTCTCCCTCTGAGAATAATTATACAGTTGCATTTACCAGACCAGTGCTGGTTCCCCTCCAGTGATTTTTGAGCTGTGTATTTTTATTTTGGTGTGATCGCCAACTGGTGTATTTATAAATCATATCTGCATTTTTGCTCTTGGTTTGGTGATCTTGCATGGTACACACGTTGCGTTGTGGACACGGACATTTTATGGATTCAAGCTGAGATAAAATAAACATTCCTGAAAAATAGAATAGGTTTCTTCCTATTTGATGTCAGATACTTTTAGTTACAGCTTGTTACAGACTATTGCTCAGATAGTATTATCTCAGCTAAAAATAATAAAAATTCTGGCTCCACTAAAATCTGTCTGTGAGTTATAGGGCTTGAATTACTTGGGTTGAAATGATTTCTGCCCTATTAATGCCATTACAGGCACAAACGCTGTTTAACGTTTTATTACTGGAACACTTGCCCATTTTTGTTCAAGAAGCTATAGAACATATTTTTATGGAAAATGTTGACATGATTTTAAAAGCCAAACATAGTTAGTGCCAAACGTAACACAATAAATACTACAGCCAAGTGCAACAGCTCCAAAATTATGGAAATTTTGAATTTCAAGGCTGATTTTCTTTTCTACATGTAAGCAGTATGTGTCTCTTGAATTTGCTGAATGGTTCTAGACTGTTTTTCTAGTAACAGTGAATCATGTACTTTCTAAATTGGTTTTCCCTAGAAATCAGTGTAGTGCTTCCTGCTTATTTTCATCTGGAACACTGAAGTCGAAACACTTGAACATGAAATTGAAAAGTGTTGGGTCTTTCCTCCACAAGAGTGCCCAAGAAGAGTGCTACACTTCATTAATTTTCCAAGAAATTTTCATAATTAATTACTTTGAAGCGAGGAGGAAAAATAAATCTTTGGAGAAAAACAAAACAATAAATTTGAATAAAAGAATAGAATGAACTCTGTCACCACAGTGGTTGTTTCAACTTTGGTTTAATTAATCTCTCAAGCCTGTCTTGAACCTTCCAACCTGGTCAGTGTCTGTGGTAAGTTTTTTTGGCGGAGGACCTGGTAACAGTTTAGAAATCACAGTTCCCTTCAGCTTGAGTTGGCAACTCCATTTGTTTATGTTCACCTTCTTTCCTCGTGGGAGGACCAGGTATTTCTAAAATTGTCATTAGCTGTTCCATGTGCCTTCAGTGAAAACAAGATAAAGAGGAGCTTTTAATAACTAGCTTATTAACCCATTATTTATGATACACATGAAGTTAATTCACTGTGTAAAGAGAGGTAATGATTTTTTTTTTAAGCTTTCTTACAAAATAGCAAGATATCACTGATATCTAATGGTTTAATTATTGCTTAGGTAATATAGCAGAGCATACGAAGCTCAGAGGCTGTTTATTTAATTACTTATTTATTTACAATTATGGTACAGGCATCAGAGGCATCAGACTTTTTTTTTTCTATTTATTTGCACTACTTTTTTGTTGTTCAAGTGCTCCTTGGTAAGTATTTGGTCGTGTTCCTAATTTTTTTTTTTTTTTTTTTTTAATTTTTGACTTTATTTTGTGTTTTCCACCATTCTGGCAAGAAAAAATCTTAATAGTGCTTTGAATTAAAGATTTCTTAATGCTGTAGTCAATTTAGATTTAATATAGCAGTTGTGTATTTGTAAAATACTAATTGAAACCACTGTGGTTTGGCAATTGTTTAAACGATCTCAACTAATAATAAATCGAGATTAGAACATAATAGAACTATATTAAGTGTTTAGTAAGTGAATTTATTAAAATAATAATAATAATCCTCATTATGGTATTTTATAAGCAGCATTTTATATTGCAAGCACTGATCTCTGTGAAATGATAGACCTGGGGTAAACTTCAGTAATGATTACTGGCAAGTGGCTGCATTTGTTGTTCTCCAGACTCATGTTCATCCACTGCCAAAAGCTGCAGCTTGAAAAGAATTTCTAGTTTTAATACTAAATCCTTCAGCTACTGAAGTCTCTTCTGTTTAGGAGTTTGTTAGCACCCTTGTAGTCTGAAGCTCTTTTGCTTGTGATTTTACTCCTTTATTTCCTTAAAGCCAATTGATGCTTTGATCTCTGTTTTTTCATAGAATCACAGAATTGTTTGAGTTGGAAGGGACCCTTAAAGGTCAACTAGTCCATCTCCCCTGCAATGAACAGAGATTTCTACAGCTAGATGGTTTGCTCAGGTCTTGACTGTGTCCAGGGGCAGGCATACATCACGTCTCTGGGCAACCTGTTCCAGTGCTTCACTGCTCTGATTGCAAAAAACTTATCCCTATATTCAGCCTAAATCTCCCCTAATCCATCAGTCACTCAGCTAATTCTCCATCCTTTACAAGAACTGCTCACATCAGAGCTTACTTTAGCTCTGGCCGTATCTTCTGCTCTCAACAGCCCCGTGTGTCCCCCACGTGCCTTTATCTTCTGTCTTCAAGGTGAATTATGAAATCCACGGCGGGGGGTTGGAGCTAGATGATCTTTCTAAGCCATTTAAGGATTCTATGAAATGTGTAGTCCAGCTGTATTTTTGAAATGTCTCCTAGCTCAGGAAATTCTGCATGGGAATCAGTGTAGGAGGTGGTATGGAGTACCAAGGAGTGCTAGCAGGCAGTCAGGATGGCAGCCTCGGGAAAAGACTGGAGCACCAGGGCTGCAGAAGAAAGGTGAGAGTAGAAGTAGAAGCATTTTATGCTTCAATTTGATTTTCAAAGGTATTATGTTTCCTTACAATTCATCTTATTCTGGCATCTTAACTGCTAGTTGCAGATGTACTGTGGAAGGACAGTATTTGTTTTAATAACATCATACTTTCTTTAACTGCAGTAAAGACTTGAGTATTCACAGGAGTGCTTTTTTTTTTATTAATCAGACCAAACATGTACCTGGTCAAAGTTTAATTTATATTTTGAATTCCCAGGCTTTTGATTTTTTTTCCTTAAAATATGAATCTGTCAATTGTTTAATGCTTATTATAACAGAAGAATTAGTAGAATTGTCTTACCATGACTGTCAGGAAGTCAACACAGGCCAGGGAAACCTTTTTATGACTGTAGTTCATTGGGCTTGGCTTGTAATCCAGGCCTCTTTCCTCCAGAGTTCTTTAATTTACCATTTATGTAGTGCCCTATAAATACTGAAAACTTTATCTACCTTAATTAGATATATTTTTGTAATGATATACAATATCAGTATTCACATCAATATAAATGACATAAAGCCTAAATCAAATATTTCATTGCTGATTAGCTAAATACCCTTTTTCTAGAACAGATTGGTTTCTCTAATATTGACTGATATAAGCTTCA